ATGATTGAGAATTTCCCATATTTGCTGAGAAACATTAATCTACACATCCAAGAGGTCCAGCAAACTCCAAGTAGGGAAAAACACAAAGAGAGCTTTGCCAAGAAATATCATAGTGAAAATGTTCAAAGACATTTTTGTCTACATTGAAAATTTGAAAGAGCAAAATTAAGCTGAAATAAAGACAATGTCAGATAAACAAAAACTGAAAAATAATCATTGTAAGCCAACCCAACTAACAAGAAATTCTAAGAGAATTTCTTCAGGCACAGAGGCGATTGTTGGGAACAAAGCTGAATGGGAGTAAAGGTATGACAGCAGATGGTAACTCAAATCTAAGGGACAAATGAAAGCAAAGCTGAGAGATAAATATAAAGGTTACTATGACTAACGTGATAAATGCACATTTGCTTTCTTTTCTTGTCTCAGCTCCTTTAAAAGACATGTTATTATATAAATTAATATTTATAAAAATTTCAGGTGTGTAACAGTTATAGATATAATATGTATAACAATAATGGCACCAAAAGTCAGAAACAAAAACTATATAGGAGTAATATTTCAATACATTACTGGAATTAAGTTAGTATAAATCTGAAATAGATTCAGATAAATTAAGCTAACATATATGGCAAAACACTAAGAAAATTATCCCAAAATACAAAAAAAATTGAAAAAGGAAATGAAATGTAACACTAGAAAATATTCATTACTACCAAACTAAGAAATGAAGAAAAATAGATAAAAAGGATTAGACAAAGAAAACAAAAATTCAAATGGTTTTGAATTATATCTAACAGATATCACTATACCAATAATAACATTAAATATGAGTAAGTTAAACAATCTAATAAAAAGGCAGAGTTTGTCATATTGGATGAAAAAACAAGAACCAACTATATGCTATCTCAGGTAGACACACTTTAGATCTATAAGTAAAAATATTAAACCTACTTTTGCCAACCCCTAAATACACACATCAACATACAAATATTTTATGTTTATGTGCATATGTTTTAAGTTTATATTGTTGATTATTCTATATCAATACAAAGTAGTGCCTCATACTTATATTTAAGACTGCATAATATTCTTTGAATGAATACACTATAAGTGTGTGCATGTATATAATCATAATTATATATTTACTTATAACATGTATTTATAATGCATTAGAATGCATACATTTATATATGAGGGGTACACACCAAAAAATGGAAGGCGGAGGGTGGACCCTGGTAGGACAGGCTTCCTCCACTAGGTGAGTGTTGTAGGAATCCATCTATATCAGTGTACTAGCTGGTGTTGCTGTGAGAGGCTGCATTGGGCTTCGGTGAAATTTTTTTGAAAGCTCTTTCAACACGTTTGCCATTTCATGATGGGTGATTTAGAAGCACACCTGGCCACACTGTACTGAGTGTTCAGCAGTTTGTGACAAAAAATGGTTTGATCCCCATCCCCCACCCTCACTGTTCACTTGATTTTGCCCCTGGGCAACATTTTTTTGTTTCCATGGATGAGGTCCCCTTGAGACCTCAAGGGGAAATGTTTTGTCAATGTGGAAGAGATAAAACAAAAAATGCCAGACGCACTAAAAAAGTACAAAAACATGCTTCTTTTAGAAGCACAAAAAGGCACCCAAATTGCCAAGTTCAAAAACTATTTTTAGCAGTGGAAAAATTGTCTCAGTAGATTTATTACATCAAATGGAGAGTACTTTAAAGGTGACTGAAGTTTAGACATGTAACAATAATTTACAACTGTTATAAATAAATTCTGGGTTTTCTGTGTCCTCCCACCTATATACATAAAAACATGTATACATAATATATTACAATAGATATAATAAATGTGTTTATTATATCTAATAGATATAGTAAACTCTGGAGATACACTAAAAATTAGTTGAGTAAGGGTTATTGTCTCTGAAATAGAGAACCAGATAGAGAACAGAGGGGAAGAAGCCTTTTACCCCATGTAATTTTGAACTATGTGTATATGTATCACATACTCCAAAATGAAATTTTTAAAAATTATATTTCAAAATAGCATTTTACCTTAAGACAAAGCCCAGAATATTCCAGTTAATAGTGTATTGTCCTTGTGAATATGCTTTGGCTTAAACAAAAGTAATTCACTGGAAGAAGGCAGGTAGCAGAGAAATAAAGCCAAAGAGGCAGAGAACCCTGAAAAATCAATTGCAAAAAATGGCAACAGCAGCAGCTGCAGCAAGAATAACAACACCATACACCTATGAAAATCAGTTTAAAATGGCATGTCATGCTACTTTCCAGGATATTAATTTTAGGAGAAATTGTATTTCAATTTAAAAAACTGTATTTATTACCAGGCACAAATTTCTTTAGCCTGATAAATTTCTAGGTTTGTTATGTATGTAAGCTGCCACTAGGGGGCAGTATATTTTTACAAGGTGAAGAAAGGAAAGTCAGGAACACTATTGTTCTTTGCATTATTCTGCTATAAATCTTATTCAGTGAGACATACTTTTATTATGAACTAAATTTTGAGATAGTGTATACTGAAAAAATAGCAAAACTTTATTAGTCAAATGATATTCATTTTTCACAGAAGACAGGCAGCAGGAGACATTCTTCAGCAAATGATTTTTGGTCAGTCTCTCAAGAAGCAATCTACATAGAATCTGATTAGTTCTGTTTTGAAATCCCATGCACAAATATTAGTATAAGAATTTCTCTCAGAGATAGAGCCACTTTCTATTTATTTTTTAAACCTGCATGAAGTTAGGGAAAATGAGAACTCAGGACATTCTCAATTTGAATGCAAAGCTAAGCACACAACAAAATTTTGTCTATTCCTAGGCTCATCATAAATGCAAAGATATAAGTTTCATTCAATTACATAACCAAGAGAAAAGTAAAGAGTTTAAGAAAACTCCTTTGGGATATTGTTCAGTCTTAAAAAAGGAGATACTGACATTTGAGACAACATAGATGAACCTGGAGCATATTATGCTAAGTGAAAAGCCAGATAGAAAGACACATACTGTATGATCTCACTTGTAGGTGGAATCTAAACGAGTCAAAGGAGGGAGAAAGGTGGTTGCTAGGGACGGGGGGAGGCAGAAGTAGGGAGATGTTGGTCAACGAGCACAAAATTTCAGTTATGCAAGATAAATGAGGTCTAGAGAAATGTTGGGAAAATGGGAGCCACAAACAGAAAGTTCACCTAAACTGAGTTACTACTGCAAAAATAAGAAGATGAAGAATAAGAAAACTTTCTTCAGGGAGATACAAAATATTGTACATATAGATAAGAGATAATGTTCACTTAGCCCATGTATAATCATTGAAAAGAGATACACACCTAGACAATATTTTGTGATCTATAACAAAATATAATGTAATCTACAACATTACAAGTTTAGTATAAAGGTTTCAGACACATATAGATAAAGAATTTCTTATAAAAAAGCAAATATAAGGGTGGCTTCAGGTCTCCCCTCTAGCAGAACAAAAGAGAGTAAGGTCTCCAGAGAAAAGGGAGGTTGTGGTCAAGAATTAATAACTAGCCATTGAAGTTCATGTGGAAAAATAAAAAGACAGTTTCAAATATGCATGGCATTGGAAAATAGACAATATATGTACTTCTTGGAAAAAATGAACAAAGCAAACAAAACCAATAAATATATTTTTAAGATTTTATTTATGTTTAAGAGAGAAAGGAATGGAGGAAGAAACAGAGGGGGAGAAACATCAATGTACAAGAGAAACATGGATGAGTCGCCACTCTGCACACCTCCAACCGGGGACCTGGCCTGCAACCCAGGCATGCGCCCTGAGCTGGAATCCTTTTGGTTTGTGGGATGATGCCCAATCCACTGAGCCACACAGGGCACAAACACAAAAAATAATTTTAAAACCCTTTGTAACCAAGTAGGAGATTAATTAAAATGAAAGATTGAAATAGGCTATATAAAACAATTGATGGCTTTAAACATAAGTCTAAAGTCATTTAAACATGGTCTAAAAAATAAAATGCAACTTTGGAAAATTACCGAAATAAATGTTAATATACAAAATGACATCTTTGTAATGTAAAGTAGGTCTCAAATACCAGATTATATATTTGAAACAAGGAAGATATATAAGAAAAAGGAAGATAAAAAAGTAAAAATGCTAAATTATTTTACAAAGGAATGAGTAAACACAAATTTTATACTTTGTGTTGGTAGAAACAGATAATAATACTTTGATATTCTTGGGAAATTTAACCATAGTAAAATTATAATCAAAATGTATACTTTCTAAAGCATTAAGGAAAATAAAAATATGTGAAATGGTTCATATTACAAACTACAATGTAAAACAGACACAAAGGAAACAAAAAGAAGCACAAATAGTGGGTATAAATTTTAAGCTGTAAACATAGGTATGCAAGAAATTTTTTTTCAATCAGTTTCACTTCTATTCTGGTAGCCCAGTTCTGCATGGATGGAGTGTAATTATATTCTTAGATTTTAAGGGTTGTTCCGCCTTGCCCTAATGTTGGTGACAAAATTCTGAGAGGTTTACATAATGGTGCAAAGTTAGGCAATCTAGTCCACGAGAGAGACATCCAGATTACTGGGGACAATCACGCAACCCCGTGTGCACGGCCTCTTCCGGCTTTTCCTCTGGGCACAGGATTTTTTCTGCAATTTTTTTGTGTGCTCATGATATCATCTACCCAGGTTCACTGGCAGTAGAGACGCTGAAGATCTTCTCAGTGGCTATGCAAATTAGCCCCTTCCTCTACCATTTCCCTATTTCCAAAGTTAACCTCAGAGACTGAAAATAAATAGGGTTTGGCAGCTTCCCGGGACCAGCTCTAAAGCTCTGTCGTAGAACCAAAACCACTAAGCAGGTACAGTCCCAGGTTCGCTGGGACACCGACGCAGGCAACCGAGGACGCTGCGGGAGGCGGGCGCAGAGGGGCGGAAGAGTGGCGCAAGGAAGCGGAAGAGGGTCACGTGGGAGGGGGGCGGGGCGTGGGGGAGAGGAAGAGGAGTGCGCCGGGCGCCCCGCGAGACTTTGGCCTTAGGGTTTGTATTTTAAGTGACGTCCTGGAGGCCACCGCCGCAGCTGGCTGTGTAACGGACTTTAGCGCGTTTCCTTGCGATTTCTAAACCGGGACCTGCCGGGGCCCAGCAGTCCCCGAGCCGCCGCCGCGCCGCCCACTGCCCTGTGCTGGGCGCGGGGACGGGGACGCTGTGCCCCCCCCTGCGGCGGGACTTGGCCTGGTGAGCGGCGGGTGGGGAAAACTTCAGAATGTGGAGAAGTAGCTAAATTGGGAGGCATTATTTCAACGTGCTAATTTAAATTAGGAATACTTTCCAGGCCCTGGGATAGGTAGTGTTATATGGCTAAAGAAAACAGTTTAGCTGATACAATCAAATGTAATGTCGTGAAGCATACAGTCACAAAGAATGGCAAAGTGGGGCCAAAGAGCCAAAGCTTTTATAGGACAAAAAATAAAGTAAGAGACAGGTAGTATCAGATTGGATGGGCCACATAGCCAACCTTTTGTAGGTTTGTAACTGAAGGGCAGGTGCTGATGTAAAGGAAAGTGGTTTTCCGGCAATCCTGGAGGAAGAGGGACTCTTGTCTCAAAGCCCATGTTAGCATCTCAGGCGTCCTGGCTAGTTTCTGTAGGGAAACGGTGTAGGAAGAGGATAACTAAGAAATTTCTGGCAACGTGCTGTTTCTCGGCTCTGCCCTTGGGAGTTTTCGGTGTCATCTCCTGCATGCATCATCCTGTAGTTTCCTTGTTGTATCCGTAGTTTTCACTGCTGCTGTCTGGAAAAATACTTAAAAGGAAACTTTTCATACCTGAATCTTTTGAGTTTGTTAGTACAGCCTATTCTGTAATCACCACCTGATTAGTATATTAGGTTTATTTCAATCCCTGTTACAGGTTGAGAAAGCCCAGAGTCAGCTTGGCGTTTGGAGATTTGCCTGACACAATATACTGCGTTTCTGGTAAATGGGAGCATTTATGGGATGGCAAAGTTTTCTGTTGGTTTGCTGATGTGCGGTCCTGGGCAGGTAATGTGCCCAAGGATCTCTATAATTGACTTTCTCACTACCTATGCATTAAATTATCTGGGTTAACTAAAATTTACATCATTTGTTTTGTGCAGCCAACTTTCCAACAACAACAAACAAAAATGCCCAACCTATTTTTAGAATGTGTCTTCTAGAATTTTTTAGAACCTCAATAATACTTTTATTGCCACACACATACAAGGTTACAAATGTAGGGGATCAAAACAACAGATTACTTACCTGTTGAAAAGACTGACAAGGCCTAGAGAAAAAAATCTACATCTCCCCCCTCCAACCCCCTTTTTCTCACACAACTGAGAGCCTATTGTTTACCAACCAGTGTTTACCAACCAGTTTCCCTTCCTGAAACTCTCCTGGAAGAAAAACGCCTTAGGGGAAAGACAGAATGTGTGATGTCTGCAGGGGGAGGGAGGAACGTAATAATTAGGTCAAACAGCTGACCTGATGTTGAAATTGTACTGTTCTGACTGGAAAGAACCAGTGTGTAAACCTCAGTGGAGCACAGGCAGCGATCATCATTACAATACGAGAAGCTAACTTGCGAAAAGGAATGGAGTCAAACGAAGGTGAGTGGTTAGGCAACAGGTTAAGTGGAGAACTGTTAAGCCTCCTATGATGTTATGGATTCTTAAGTCTTGTATGCCACCTGATTATTGGCAGATTTCATTTGTCAAGCACTGCTCAAGGCACTGCAAATGCCTTCCTGCTGTTAAATCTAGTGGAAATTTGGTTAAGGAAGTAATTATGGAACAGTGTGAGTGAGGGTTAATAAAGAATATGAAGGAGAACAGACAATAAGAAAGAGTTTTTTACATCGTCTAGTGTATTAAAGGGGATGGTCTGGAGTTACTCTCATGGAGAGAAAGTGTAATAGGTGAGGGCTCACCTATACGGAGACTTTGAATGAAGAGAACACCTGAAGAATTGGAAGAACTGAAAGAAGTTAATTGTGGCTGTGTGAGGAAGAAAGGTGTGTGTGGCATGTAATGAAATTTGAAATTATATAATGAGAGCCTAAAATGAACTAAAAAATTTTTAAAAAGGTCCTATATTGACTGTCTGAAATAGAATATATCTGATTTTTTGTTGTTTACTACCTATCTTAGGCTAATTGTTTTCTTATTAAATATGTGTTTGTGGTAATTTTGTGGTTTACTGAATTTCAGAATGGGTAACAGGTTTTAAGAGAATGGCTAGGTTATTCCCCATGCAGAGAGGGCAACCCTTTGATCACCTTAGCAGAACTTTAAAAAAATGGAGAGTGGCACCTTCCATCTCAGCTTCTGTGGTGCTCCCTTCTCTTTCCCTTTTCCTGTGATTTGATAGCGAGCTCATTCAGCTGAACCAAATCTGCTTGAGGCAGGACAGCAAAGTTTTGTGCATGACAAGTTGTAAACATTCGCTTTGTCCTGAAGAAAGTTTCTGAAATTGTAAATGCCTTAGAATCTGTTCATAATATTGTAAGTCTAGAACTAATCCAAAATGCTGATTGCTTAGCTGCATGTTTATACAAAATCTGAATCTCAACCCTTGTTAGGTTACTTGTACTTTCAGGAACTAGAGTCACTTAATAGTAGCTAACACCTTGTCAGCTCTTCAGGACTGAAGCCTTGTCTCTGAAGTTAGAATTGAGATGAAAGTATATGTAGTAGTTATTAACAAATTTCTAGAATTGGATTCTTCAACAGAGGTCAACAAATCTGGTAGGCTCAAGCAGGGCCCTTGAGTTTCTATGGTACTGTTTGTGGCATAGACAAGGGAATAGGAGAAGAGGGGAGAAAAGGGGGAAAGTTAGTGGAAGGGGGCAGAAGTGGGTGGGGGCAGGTGAAAATATATGGAATTAATAGAGAGAAGGCTACATGAAGTATTTATAAGGTTTCCTTGGGAAAATGAGCATATCGAAGATGTCTAATGAGGCAAAAATATTACTGACATAAATATTTAAATTTGTAATGATTTAAGGACAAGGAGAAATAGATCTGATGGAATCAGTACCAGTTGTCTTTGTGTTGTTGGCTTGGAGGGAGCGGTAATGTATGAAGAGAGAATAGACTCATTACAATGAAAGAAGACATGTTGTTTATTGATTCTGTTATCCCACAGTAAGAATTTAAAATGCTAATGATTTTATAAACTATACTCCATTATCTTCTTGTTTAATTCTTATTCTTTTCCCCAAACAGAATATTGTGGAAAACAAAGGCAATTTTTTTTTTAAACTAGCCACCCAATTCCTTATCTGGTTTCTTTGGCACATTTTTTTTATACTGAAATCATAGTCAATGTGAAAAAGATCAAGACCTCTTCCCCAATTTAACTTTCTACTGAGTTGTCTCTTGTATATCTGATATATCACTAGGTGCAAAACATGCAAACACATATTCCAAGGAAAAGCAAGCTTGGACATATTTGAGAGAGGGGGAGAGGGAGGAAATGGGAGAGAGGGAGAGAATAGTGGGGAGAGAGAGAGAGTTGAAATCAGATACAAAGAATATACCATATTCTTCACATTATATAAAATTCAAAGCAGACAAACTGATTTTGGGTATTAGAGGTCAAGATAGTTATCCTTATTTGGAGTGGTGATCAAAAGGTGGCAGAGCAAACCCGAGATTCATGTTATCTGCCGAGTGCTATGTACGCAAATATATTCACCTTGGGGAAGTTCACTGAGCTGTATATTCTTCTGAATGCATGTCTTATATCAACAGCAGTGCTTATGTATGGTAAAAAGCCTGTGGGCAGAGTTGCAATTACCTGATGAAAGTGAGAGAAGAGGGACAGAACCCCGGGAAACACAGAAACCACACACACATTCTTGTTTTTCCCTTCTTCCTCTGGACCCCTTCCAGCTTCTGTAAAAACATCACAGAAAGTAAGGATAATGCTAAGAATCAAATTTCTGTTAGAGAATGGGATTTCTCTTGTAGCATTTCTGCATTGAGACTGTCTCTAAGTGGACATTTGGACTGATTTCTTCTTAAATTTTGTAAGTGTTAGAATTGGAAAAATAACTACCTTCATGAGAAAGATTACCTGGAGGCAGGAGATGGCACTGAATACAGAACAGCAACATTCTTCTAAATCTCCCTAGTGTATTAGATCCTCGCAAATGCACTGTCACTCTGTTATCATCTCTCAGTGGTAGCATCCTGAAATGATATATTTTGTGAGTTGTTTGGTTTGAGAAAGGGGGGAAAGGAAAGGAATTCCATACTAACCATCTCTTCTAAGAGTGTTTTTATAAGTTGGAAAGTACTTCTAATTATACAGAAAGGTCTATTAACAAAATAATATTACAGAAGTGTCTGTTCATCTGGACTACATATGCTTACGTCTCTTTTCCAGAAATGGCAAGAAGTCTTTTGAAGACATCGTCTATGTCTCTAGGGACAAAATTGCTACATCAGACGGGAATAGCACTTTATAATACATCTCATGGCTTCCATGAAGAAAAAGTAAAGAAAATTCTTCAGGAGTTTCCTGGGGGAACCATTGACCTTCAGAAGGAAGACAATGGCATTGGCATTCTTACTCTGAACAATCCAAATAAAAGGAATGCCTTCTCAGGTTAGAGAGTTTTCTTTTGCTTGTGAAAGAATAACACTAAGTCTAACCTGCTGTTACATGACTGTTATCCTTACCCTGGTGACATTCACTCTGGGAAGTCATGGATCCTTGTGGAACATGAAAACAAAACAAAACTGTCATGTGAGTGAGGAACATCTTTTACTAATTGTGGAAATTTTAATGCTTTTCTTTTAAAACAATCCATGAATACAGATACTGATAAAAAGGAAAGTGTCAGATTAATCTTGACTTTTTTTTCCATTGAAATGTATTAACTGCTTACTAGCTTCATTTGTTTGTGTTCAACTAATGTCAGTGGGAAACAAAGAAAAGGCATTTTCAAATGTTTTTAAAAACTAAGGATAAAAACCTATACATTAAAAAAGAAATTACTTATTAGCTTAAGTTTTTTATGAGAATTGAAATAAAACTGTGTTTGTAACCATGTAATTCCAATATTATCAGTGAAAACACTTCCCGCACCTGTTTGTTGCTCCTTTCCCAACTCGTGGATACTGGTGAATACCTTCTGTTTGCCAGGCGGCGCTCTTGACATACAAGAATGTTATGTTTAAGAGTCCTGAAGGTCCAGGATATATGGTAATTTGCAATTTTTTGCCAAAGCTGAAATTGAAATGATGCTACCTTGAAGTTATGCAAAAGCTAATGAGTAACCTTGTTGAATACCCAGCCCTTGTATTTCAAGGTGATTTGGCATTTTCTCTATTTGTCATTTATATACTTTATGAAGGTAAATTATATTCTATGGTAGCATTTGAAATATTGGGTTCAAAAATACCTCAGTACATTGTCATGCATCTGTATGTAATCACACCTATAAACATAATTCAAAAGACTGTAAATCATAAGTTGTCTATGGTGGATCTTTAAATCAAAGATGACTTTTCCTTTCCACTCAGCAGAATTCAGAGATGTCTATCTCTGTTAGTGTTAATCAAGAGAAATATAATGCAAGACACAAATGTGAACCACATACATAGTTTAAAATTCTGTAGTAGCCATATTTTAAAAAGTAAAATGAAACAGGTAAAATTAAATTTTTTATTTAACTCAGTGTATTCAAAATATTTCAACATGTGACTAATACAAAAAATTAAACATTTTTTTAAATATCAAGTCTCTGAAATCTGGTGTGTGTTTTACACCTACTGCACTTCCCAGTGCACCTTTGGACTAGCGACATGTGAGTCCATTATAGTAGCTACATTTGGTGATGGCTACTTTATTGAACAGGGTGGTTTCATACCCTCAATGAGTCCAGAGAGTAAAGACCTAGGACACTAACATTAGCCTAGGAAAAATAAGATTAGCAAAGTAAGACTGCTCTAAGAATTAGTTTAGATTAATAGTTTTCATTTACTACTGAATAGCTACAAATAACTTACATTAGTAAAACTTTGTATTCAAATGGAAACAAATGTTAATTTGGTTCCTAATTAACACTAATACAAACTATTTTGAACTATTATACATCAGTGTGGGTAATGGTGTTTTGTTGGGTTGGGAGATGATGATTGAGCCCCATACTACACAACCCCCAAGCCCTTTGTTTGAAAATCACCCAAGCATATACTCTTTAAGGTCCCTTCCAACTTTTAACATGTATTTTACAAAGTCAGAAAGATGAGTTCAAGATTAACTACTGGTATAGATTTCTCATACTCAAGGTCAGCATTTTTTTTTGAAGCTTAAATATTAAGGATGATTGAAAGTCCATATTTACCTATTTAGATTTATTCTCACCCTAAATGTTTCTCTGTAAAAAGAAAAAAAACTATTAGACTCTTAATCTTTTTGAGAGCAAAAACTATATTTCTAAAGCACCTATGACATTCTTGGGTAGGTAGGTCTGCTTTTCAACTAGGTCGTAACTAGCAATTAGGAAGAAGAGCCAAATTGGTCATTATTTATTGTGGGACCACTTCCCTCCTGGTTACTGCAAAAAAGGTAAAGAAAATAACAGTTCTTGACATCATAAGGTTTATATTCCTTAGAAGTGAGCATAGTTTAATGGGTTATACATAGTAAATTTTGTTATCTTGTAGAGATTTTGCTGAATTTAACCCTTTGTTACGATCTTTCTGTTGGCTTCTAAAGCATATTCTTAAGCAGAGGGAAGAGTAAATTTAATCATGCTGAGAGCATTATGAACTTTTCAAACTTGGAAGACTTCCACAAATAAGCATAAATGGCAGTCTCTGCTATTTCCATTTTAAATTTGTCTATTATAAACAAACTCCAGTAGAATTTCTGAGTGATATCAAGGTAACAGTCTAAATAAATTATAGAATTAATGTTTGCTAGTCTTTTTATTGGCATTCAGCCAGGTACTTCTACTGTATGCCCTGTGCTTCCTAGCACAGTTTCTCAGCCAGGAAACAAGATGATATTTACTACAAGTTATATTAGTTTTGATGTGGTTAGGGTTGGAACGTCACTGTAGTTTCAGCTGCAACCTACTTGAAATAGCAGACCTGCCCAAGGATGTCCTAGGTGCTTTAGAAATACAGTTCTTGCTCTCAAAAGATTTACAGTCTAATAGCTTTTCTTTTTACAGAAAAACACACATTGAGGGTGAGAATAAATCTGTATAGGTAAATATGGACCTTCAATAATCCCAACACTGCCCAGTATTATCATAACAGCTCATGCTCTGAGGCAGCACTGTAGTTGAATTAGGGATGTCGGCACAGCTCATTATGTGTTTGCGGACTAAGACAGCGTGTGCTGCTGTGAAGTCAGGCCTGTATTTTGTTTTTACCCCAAGGAATATGTTTTCTTAACACCAATTCCATAGTATTGATTCCAATGTTCATATTCCTAGGACATATATATATTTGCATTTTTCTTCATAACCATGTATTTGTGTAATTTCTTAAGAAAGAAAGAGAGAGATTGCTAACAAATTGTGAACTTTTAAAACAGGCAAAAAAAAAGTAAATAGAGCAGGCACTGTTATGTATACCTCTTCTGGATATATTCACGGTGGCAACAGAGCAGGGATTTAACATTCAGTAAATACTTGTAAAATATATGATCTAAGCACTGTGTTTGCCACCTCATTGTTTCTAGATTATCTCTATTCACTGAGTGTCTTAGCTGTTTGTGATTCCCCCTCTACTCTCTGACAGGTGTTATGATGCTACAGCTTTTGGAAAAAGTGATTGAATTGGAAAATTGGACAGAAGGGAAAGGCCTCATTGTTCGTGGGGCAAAAAATACTTTCTGCTCAGGGTCTGATCTGAATGCTGTGAAAGCACTAGGAACTCCAGAGGCAAGTATATATGAATTGTATACTAGGTTCTACAAGTTTATCGTACGTCTATGCTGAGATATTTATATTTACTTATATGGTTGTTATAATGACAGCTACTCTTGAATAGCTTTTCAAGGATCAGAGTTTTGTTTTGCTTCTTAAAGATTAGGTTACAGTACTGTGAATGAAATACTGGAATTAAAAAAAAAAAGGAAGGACAGGAAAATTAGCAATAACCAAAGTGTTATACATTATTAAATTTAGCAAGAATTTGAATTCTTAAGTGGAAGCCCCTTAGCATCTCCTGATAAGGAATTTTACACAAGGTATAATATAAAGTATTATAGATTTGGTACATAGTAGGCTTCAACAAATGATAACAATTTAAAATTTTGCTTTTAATTATTATTCCTTTAGAAAAAAATCCTAATCATCTTCCATTATCAGTCCTCCTAGGAACCTCTTTTTCTTAAATTCAGGCTTCCACCCACAACACCTACACCAAAAAGCAAAATGAGAGAGAGAAGGCGGGGAGGGGGGTGGAGGAGAGAGAGAAATGAAAAAATGTATTAGTTGCCATTTAATTACAGGCCACCCACATCTACACAAATATTTATTTAGGTAATAAATGGGGAGTTATATTATTTATTTATTTTTAACAAATTGTTGATACTGTTACAGATGCCCCCCCATTTCCCTTCCTTTTCCCTCCCTCCCCAAGCCCTGCCACCAGCCTTCAGTCCCCCTCCCTGCCCCCCACCCCCTGAGATCTGTCAGTCAGTTCCATGGCATCCATGCCTCTGGTTTTGTTTTGTTCCTCAGTTTAGTTTGTTCATTAGATTCCACATATGAGTGAGATCATACAGTATTCATCTTTCTCTGACTGGCTTATTTTGCTTAGCATGATATTCTCCAGGTCCACCCATGCTGTCACAAAGGGTAAGAGTTGCTTCTTTGGTATTCCACAACTCTCACACCACTACTTGTGTTTGCATAAATATATGGAAGCAAAGAGTTCTCTCTTGGTAATTTTGGTAGCCTTGGATTTGAATGCTGGTTTTGACATTTTCTGGCTAAGTTATTGGACAATCACTTAATCTTTCCAAGTCTTATCTTCCTAATCTATAAATGAGAATTATGTATTTCATAAACTATTGTAAGGACTCAAAGTAATGTATATAAAGTGACTTCTAGCACAGTATCTGAAAAATGTAGCTGTTTTTATTTCAAAGCTCTTGATTTTAATAAATATTCATGAAGTGGTTCACAATTTGTAGCACCACTAGACTTAAATTTGTAATGTGTCTGAATGACTAGAGCACAAAGCTGGCAAATCGAATGTATGGATTCTTGCCCAAGCTCTACTAATAATTAAACGTGTGGGCTGCAAGTCACTTGATTATAATTTTTCATAATCAAGTAGAGCATAATCAAGTAATACATAATCCAGAATGATTGCATTACTAGGCACCTTTGTTCACAAAAGACACTGTAAAGATAGAGTGAGATAACAGGTAATTGTGGGTCTGATAAAAGTTGGGTAGGAAAATATCCCTAAAAAAGCGAAAGGTTATTTTGTTTTCTTCTAGTTAGAAGGTTATCTCTGTCTCTTCAGATGATGCTGCCAGGATTTCCCCCTCTGTGTATGTAAAGTTCAAGTGGAAACACACTAATGATCTAAGTTGTGTAGGAAAATGTGTAGTTTTTATACAGGCTTCAGGCAAGGGGTCACTTTTAAAAGTCCATTCTTTCTAGTATGGACATTCTCCAAGTTATCTGCTCTGTTGAATGCCTGCAGTAGAGTAAGATTAACTTCTGATCAACAGCTGACAACTGAGGTGGAGGGGCCCCCAGTGCTACAGCAGCACTGGGGGTGTCCGTCACCTGTAGTTACGCACACCTGCCAGTCTCATCAAAAAACCCTGGAGTTGTGATTTTACCTTATAATGTGTATTTTACAACCCAGCTCAGTATTTAAAATACGGTATTTTATTGAAAGCATTCTCCTGGGTAGGTGGATCCTTTCTTGTACTTTTATGAAATCTGCCTGTTACCATATTTTACTATGTATAATGCACTCCCATGTATAGTACACACCCACATTTTTGGCCCAAACTTTCAAGAAAAAAATTTGTTTTAATTTTTAATTAATTTATATTTAGATACTTGTTTTTTGTATTATAAAGGAATTTATTGTTGAACATATCATGGTACAAGAAACTTTATGTAACAAATAATTACAAAACATGAGAACAGATACAAGGTATGTCAGGTACTACCCATATATAATGTGCATCCTTATTTTCCCCTCAGAAATGTGGGCAAAAAGGTGTGCATTATACATGGCAAAATACAGTAATAGTGTAGGAAATATGCAGCATAGGAATAAAAAATTTGAATAAACTTCTCTTATGGACAATATTAAAAAGCACAGTAACATGTATAAAGTATGGGGTATATTTGTCTCACAATGATTTTAAAATTAACAAGCAGTAGAAACAATATATAAAGTTCTTGGTAAATATCTCTATTTCTCATATAGACGGCATTTCTATATGTCTCAGAAATAGCTACAGGTATGTGTAACACTGAAATTTAAAGTGGCATGGAGACTCCTGTGGCTCGCTTGTCCTTGTGTATGAGTTGCAGCTGTGTGTATGAATGCAGCTGCCCCTCGCTGCCAAGAGTGTGCTTACTCTTTTTTGTTGCAGGTGCATCAGTAGCATCTGCTGATTGGGTGCATTTGCTCTTTGAGCATGATGATTTTAGAAATTGAGTTATTTTCCTTTCTAATTACAATGAGATGCTTGAAAGTGACTATTAAATGGCATTTTAAAAAAACATGATCAGGTTGATGGTTTTGCCACTGTATTTTTTTCAGTTAAAAAAATTTTATTAGTGAAAATGACCAAATATAAACAAAAGTAGAGAGACTAATACAGTGAAACCCTCAGGTATGCACTCATTATAGCATCAGCAACCATCAACATTTTATTAAATCTGTTTATCATTCCACTTTTTTTTATGTAGCTGGTCTCTTAAGAAGTTGGTTTCATTTTGGTATCATTTGTTTAATGAGTAGGAAAAGAGCTTCAACTGTCCCTACTCATCAATTCTTGGTTGAGAAAGTCCTGGCAGAGAGATGAATTAGTACAGCACAAGAATTAGGCCCCGAGAAGTTATGGGACAGAGAAAAGAATAAAGTGGGAAAAAATCTAATGTGAGTATTGGGTTTCCCAAAAAGTCCATATGTTTTTATTCTATAAAATAAAAGACATTTTTCATTTTCACCAATAACTTTGATTTGAATATTGTATGTCAGCTGTCTCTCATGGTATAATGTAGATTGTTTTTAATGTCTTGATTTGATTGCTATCAACTTTAACTGGTGTAGCTGACTGTGGAACATTGTCCAGTTAGAAATCTCCAGCATGAAACTTCATAAACCACTTTTGACACGTTTTGTGACAGTCACAGAACTTTCTCCATACACTGCACAAGTCTTTTTGTGCATTTCAGTTGCTTTTTTACCTTTCTTGAAATAATAAAGCATGATATGCTGAAAACGTTGCTTATTTTCTTCCATCTTTAATATTAAAATGGCTACACAAAAGTTCATCAATTTTGATACTTTTTTTAAAGCACACTGATATGACAGCTGTCCCAATACAATTGTTTTTGAATGAAGTTAAAGACAGCTAAGCACTACTAGAGCCATCTTACTGAAGAAAAAAAAAACAAAACAACCTTTTTGGCCAACCCAATTATAAGATTTAAATTTGTTTCACAGATGTTCTGTAGGTCACAATAAGTCTTTTTTTCCAGAGGGCAAAAATAATCAAAATCTAATTACAAGCTTTAAGATATGAGGAGATAAAAACCTTTTTACTTTGCTCTGAATGGGTATTATACCTAAAGGAAAAGTCTGACATTTTAGAAACCTTTATACACTTAATCTAGCTTGAAAATATCCTTTGCCCCCTGACCTACCTTGTTCCTATTCTGCCAATCCATTGCTCCTTATTTCTCATTGCTTAAATTTCTACAACGACATCAAAGTTCTTGTGTAACTTTATTGCTTTTGTTACTACTATTGAACAGCCCCATTTTAGCCTTACTAATTTACGGACAAGCTATTACAGTTTTCTCTAAGCTCTTCCAAAGTATTATGAGGATATAAATAAGTCCACATAGCAGGCACTTAGGGGGTGGAAAGAGACTCATTTATGGTTCTAGGATAAGATACTTTTACAGGTTGGGCATTTTCCCACTTACGATAAATGTGACTTAGAGTTAATAGGATGTTAATATAGTTCCTTTGGCACTTAGGCTGTGTATTGCACTTCTCATTTCTATTTTTGTAGGAAAAGCTGGAAAAGTCAGGTTGGGTCTCAGGGTATCTTCCAGAAAGGATGAAAATATCGCCTCCTGCAGCAGCTCTACTGACCTTTTTTTAGTGTTTCCCAGCTTCCAGCTTTCATTTATCAGAGCAAGTCTAGCTTTTCATTGGTTCCTTTCCTTCAGTACTATCACAAGTAGGGATTTCTGGCTGATTGGCAGTTTGGCTGTAGTCTGTGTGGTGTTGACCACGATTTCATACTGCTTTTAAACTGTTTCATACTGCTTTTTTACTGTTTTACTTTTGAATGAGAATTATAACAGTACACAGGCTAATACCTGCTTCACTTTCATTTCGATCAATTCTAAATACTTCCATCAGAATGTTAAGTACTCTAAACCTAGTAACAGAAAATATGCCTTTTGAGATCCTTTAACAGGCTGTATTAGACAGGTTTTCAATAGAATAGAAATCATTCCAGTTTTTAACTTCTAGCTCTTTGTGCTTGTTTTAATTTTCTTATCACTTTATAATATAGACTGCCCTTCCTGAAGAAAGCATTTTGTTTAGGAAATTGGCACCATACTGGTTTTTACCATTCGTTGACTGCATCTGTTTTAATGGTCAGCAGTTTTCCATCTAAAAGTCATCTGACTCAGTTAACTTCATCAGGCATATACTGTATGTAGCAAAACATTGTACCAGCCTCCGAAGATAAAGAAGGCATTTTTCCAACTTCAAGGAACTTATTGCCTAACCCTAAATAAATGCCATCTCCCCTTCTACGTTATGAAGCCTTCCCAACTACCCCAACCAATTGAAATTAATTATTTCTTATTTGGTACTATTCTGAGTTTGTTCAAGTATTTTAAAAAAATACTTGTGCTATACCTTGATGTGTTGCATTTCTTTATCTCATAAGATTTTTGAGGAACAGGAACTGGGACCACGGTCTACTTACTATTGTCTCTAGCCCTTATCTTGTATAGATGAGCCTAATAAAAAATCCAAACACAATGCACACAAGACAATCTATAAGTATTATCCTTAAGTTACAAAAATAAAAATATTGCAGAAACACAAAGGAGAACACTATTACTATGGGATTTAGACAGTGTTGATGGAAAATATTTGATCTGTGCACTTCCTAAAATACGTAGAGGCAAGGACAGGTTTTCTTTGAAGTAATGGGAATGGTGTGAGCACAGGCATGGGAACAAGTGTAAGTTGCTAAAGGAATGGCAAGTAGTTTGTTGTGGCTGAAGTTAAGATGCTTGGATGAACAGCACAGGTGTCAGTCAAGTTGGCAAAATAGTTTGGGATCAGTCCTTCCCATGTAGTTTAGGCTATTTCATTGGTGATATGAAATAATCATCTTATGGGAAGGTTTATCAGGCAGCAGGATATACTATATATTGCAGAAGAAAAGAAGTTAAATACAGAGAGGTGATTTGGGAAGCAAGGCTATTTTAATCATCTAAGCATGAATAACAAAAGTCTGGACTAGTGTAATGACAGTGAAAATAAAAAAATGAAGGGGTTATATTGGAAATATTTCAAAGGAAGAATTTGGGAGACATGTTTGGTAACTACTTGAGAGTGGAAGAACTGTGAAATGGAAGGGCCAAAGAAAACCAAAATTATGAGCCTTATTGACAAGAAGATCTTTTTCTGTTAACTCATAACTTGCTTACATTTATGTGATCATTTTTCCAACTGTCCTTTAAATCAAATAGAACAGGTATTTTTTTATTCTTTATTCCTTCCTTATGGACGAGGACAGTGAAGTTCATAGTTATGCCTTATTCAAGTTCATGTTGTTATACAGTGGTAATGCTAGGATTCAAACTCAACTCTGTTTTGCCATGCTGAATATACTTCATATTGGCAGAATGTGAAATTTCTAGTAGGCTTTGGGACTCTATGTGAAAACAATAGTTGAAGCAATGGGAATGGATCAGATTTCCAAAGAAATTGTAGATAAAGATGGTGAAGAGAGTCATGGATTGGATTTTTTGGTATACAAGCACTTAGAGGATTTAGCTGAATAAAAAGAGACAAAAAAAACTGGAAAAGAACAATAAGAGAAAAGAAGAGAATCAGGAGTCAACAGGGTTACTAGAAACAGAGAGAATATCAAAGAAACTTGTCAAGGCAAAATACCATTTCTTATAGAGATAGAGGAAGATGAGGAAAGGAAAAGCCATTTAATCTGACATGATGACGATTATTGGAAACCTTTGAGGGGAGTCTTGGGAGAAGTCTGAAGATCAGAGTATACTGGCCTGAAGAAGAGAAAAAAAATGCAGTGGGTTCAGACTACCTTTAAGAAATTGTTTTTATATGTTCATATTCTTAGGGGATCGGAGTTTTGGATAATTGGTGGGTGTCTCTTGTTCCGCTCTCCAAACTACTCTGAGTAGAACTCCACACTCTTCTGAGTTATTCAATTTAACTCTCACATCCAAGTCTTTGCTAATACTTCATGCAAAGCTGAGCTCGAATCCTAGAAAATCAACATCGAAAACTGTATCAATCAATGTGCATTTCACAGCATCAGAGTTTTAAATGAAGACCTCATTAAAAAATGTTAGATGTATTTTTGACTGCTTCTAACTCCTGAAATTAAAAAATATTATAATAATTTGCATTAAACCTTTGTGTTTATTTTTATTTAAAGGATGGAGTGGCCTTATGTATGTTCATGCAAAACACCTTAACAAGACTGATGAGGTAATTTTCTTTTTAAAATATGATTTCTAAAAAAACACAAAAAATAGCTCTTTATTCTATGTGTTGCACCAGTTAAAAGAGCGAGCTGATTTTCGAATTATATTTATTCTAATGATGACCTATTTGTGCCATCAAGGGTAATCATTTAATTATGTGTTAGCGAAATATATACAAGTATTTAAAAAATAAGAGACATGAGAAAAAGAATTTAAGACACAGCACTTTTCCCTAAAGAACTTATATTACTATTAGCTATATATGTGTGTAGTTATAGAGATGGGAAAGTTAAATACTGATATTATAGCAGAATAAAGACACATAAAGGTTACCTAATCAAAATTAATAGAATGTATAGTGAGGTGGTCTGTATCTAAGGGAGAGAGAAAAAGACCTGCGGGTTTCTGGGGAAGATGGATTCACTTTGCACCTGAATGAACAAGCAAAAGGAGAGAATTCTTGGCCTATTGCTGTGCATTTGGGTTACAGACAATGACTGGTTTGGGCTTATTAGCTATTCCCGTATTCCAACTGGAAACAACTTAAAAATGACAGAAACTAAGGAAATTCATATTTATTTAGTATATTTACCAATTGGACATCACTGTACTTTTGTTGTTCTTCATATGTGAGAACATAAGAAGAATAAAGGAATCATACTATTACTATTCTAAAATACTTCATTATATTGGCAACTGTTCACCTCCGTTTTCCTATTACATTTGATTTTTGCTTACATAAATCTTGAGTTTTGTTTTAAATATTTTTTTTAATTGGGAGTAGTGTAAGAAATTTGCAGTCACTTTAAAGCTACAGTTTTACATTTCAGTTAGAACAAAAAAAAATCCATTATTTCAAAAACATTTTAGACTTACCTTTTAATACTGAAACAGTCCTACACTGCAAAGCGGGTCTTTGCACACAGGAGAGGTGAAGAGATTTATTTTTGCCACAGAACCATTCCTTTACATAGGAATTGTCTATGGATCATTTGAGTGAGCAGTGAAAAGATAGGGACCTTTATAACAACACAGTCTGGGAACTCGTTCCTCTGTACCACATTTCCTCCCTTTGGCTGCAGCCTTAACTTTCCCATATATAATCTGGTATCGATAAAAATGGGCCAAAACAATATTACATTGCATTATTTCTGATTGCCAGTAAGTAGTTGAAAGGTTCCAGGAGCTGTATGTCATCCAAAAATATCCACTTATTTGGAATAAAGTTACAGGCTGACTACAATTTAAAAATATATGATTCAGGGAGGTACTTTGATAAGTTTACATGGAATTTAGTATGAATTAGTATATCTTCAGATATATTATACTGTTTTGCTCCTCATGATCCCTTGAGATTTATTATTATAAACATAGTTCAATAATTTTGTTTCTATTGCATCTTAAGTTTTAAAATAATATTCACAGATTAATACTGAAATGAAAAATGTTAACATATTTTTCCTTTTTCCTTCAACATACAGACTTCCTTTAATAAGTGTTGCACTAGTTCAAGGTTGGGCATTGGGTGGAGGAGCAGAATTTATTACAGCATGTGATTTCAGGTAGGATGAAAACTGCATTACCCCTTGCACAGATACAACTAACATGCTCAAATTTATTATTCACCCGAATATAAGTATTTCATATAATCTTAAAATAGAAAAATCAATTAGCACATTTTAAAAATTATCATTAGAATAGGTAATTTTAGTCAGTCAAGCATAACTCTGCTATCACTTTATTACCACTCATTCAAAAAGTTAACAAAATAAATTGGGTTTAAATAAATCAAATTCATTTTAGTAAAATTCATCCCAGCATCTTGGGCTTTAACCAACGTTTACGTTCAGCTAATACTCAGTGAATTTATTCCTGGCATAACCCTTTTCTGTATTGTAGGAATAGCTCTGAGCCAGTGTTTGAGTCAGTTCCAGGATGTAATTTAGGACTATGATTTATTAAATTTATTCTGTGGGAAGCTACTTTATAGGATTGTGTTCAGTGTTAAACAGTATTCCCGTCTCTAGACCATTTGGCATTATTTCTGTAATTTCTATTGTTTCTTCACTTTTGACATTTTCTGTTTATTTTAAGAAGGCAGTGCCCCCTTTCAAATTTGGAGCTAGATTCAGATTCTTAGGGCACTTGTTCTTTCTTCCTTCTTTACCCTTGTAGGAATTCACACCTGTGAGGAGGAAGTTCTCTTTCCCAGTGGTTTAATAAATAGGCATTTGTGAGAAATATTCTACTGGAATCTCTCTCCTGATTAAAGGGTCAAAGATTAAGGGTTTGTTGTTCTTGGTGCCGATAGAACCAAACCACCTGCAGTTGAGCATTGAACCCTTTGGAAAGTTTAACTTGTGGTGTTTATTTGTTTGTAATGAGTAGGTGACAGCAATGATTTTTTTTTTTAAGAAAAATTCAGACATCTTTTGTCTAAATTAAGGTGTTAACATAGTGAAAATCTTGTCACTAAAATGTGGAGTCAAAATAAAACTCATAGGCAGCATTCCCTAAACAGTGTAACTTTATGCAGTCTATTAAGAGAGTACAAATACTGAACTGGCAATTGTGAACGCCTTTTGCTATGTTCACGAATTTCTTTCTGTTAACTCCTCTTTATTGTACCACTTTGCTTATTAACCACCCTATTCATAAAAATACCAAGATTTGGGGACAGTGAATTCCTGCTATAGGAAATCACTGCTCTCAGTCTCACCCAAGCTGCTATGAACTTTTGGAATGGTATCTCTGGTTCCACTCCAGCCTAGCTAGCTATTGTGTGTACTGTGAGGCTAGCACACACAATGAAGCCACCCTACCTGTGTTTTCATTCTGGCTCTGCTATAGGTGTACAAGATGTTGAGGTGTTTATATAGTTACCTCAGTTTCTTCTCTGTAAAATGAGGCTATTACTGTACCCCATATAGTTCTGAGGATTGACATGAAGTTCTGTAGAAATCAAGTATGTTACTGAATGTTATAGTCTTGACAGAGTAACCAGGGTAACCCTTTTCAATAAGTCAGATACTACTCTCTTAAGTAACCTCCTCTAAATAGCTTCACACTTAAAAAATAAAATCTGAACTCCCATTTAAGGGTTAATACGCCTACCTCTCCAATTTCCACTGCCATTACTGTTTCCTCCATTCCAAGCACAGTAGCCTGTTCCTCAGAGATACTAAGAAATTCTACTTCAAGGCCTTTGCACTTCAAGGCCTTTGCAAGGCTGGGGGGGCAGTTCCTCTTCCTGGAACACTTGCCCCCCCAGGTTTTTTCATCGCTCGCTCACTTGGGTAGCTGCTCAAATATTCAGAGGCCTTTTCCATCTAAAATAGCACACCCCTAACACACACACCCTCCTTCTGTAGTCCCTTGCCCCATTTTATTTTTATAGCACTTACCAGCACTGACATTATATCGTTCAGTGTCTTTCTCTTAACAGGAATATAAACTGGCATTGGTAGTGCTTAGTACTTATTTGCTGGGAGACTGGATAGATGCTGGTTAAAAAACAATTTTTCTTTTCCGGTGGACAACTGACTCTGACTTGCTGTTTTTTATTTTTTCATGGTATGCACCTAATATTACCTACTTACATATTTTCACTTAACCTAGGTTTTCTCATTAGGCCACCAGTTATTTTAGAGGTACATTTTGGGCTTTTAAAAATAAATACAAAGACTACATTCTTATTTATAAAGTAAAGAAGAAGCAAGCACAACAAAAATGTTGATACTGTTTTTAGAGGGAGGTCATACGTATTGTCTATAATTTAAATTCTGTATTTAGCCAGATTTTTTGAACATTCAGTTTTTAATGTATCTACCTATAAAGACCTATGGAGATTTCTGATTAGATCATGAATGGTTGGTAGTTGATGACTAAAGCATATATACCTAGTTAAAATTAAGCTGTTTTTTCTTTTCTGTGTTGCAGATTAATGACTCCAGGGAGTGAGATCAGATTTGTTCACAAGGAGATGGGTATAATACCAAGCTGGGGTGGCACTACCCGGCTGGCTGAAATTATCGGCCGTAGACAAGCTCTCAAAGTGTTAAGTGGGGCCCTCAAAATGGATTCAAAACAAGCTTTAAACCTAGGGATGGTTGACGAGGTCTTGCAGTCTTCAGGTGAAACTGAAAGTCTAGGAGAGGCACTAGAGTGGCTAAAGCAGTTTACTGAAGGGCCAACAGAAGTAATTAGAGCTTTGAAAAAAGCTGTTTCTTCAGGCAAAGAGCTTTCTTTCCAGGAAGCATTACAGACCGAAAGAGATCTTTTAGGGACACTTTGGGGTGGACCAGCAAATCTGGAGGCTATTACTAGGAAAGGAAAATTCTGTAAGTAGGTATTTTAAATATGAGGTACTGCAATAATTAATGTGTAAGAGAGTTAAATATTAAATATGTCAGAATTACTTCGAAGGGTACCACTGGTATTTGGGTTTGTTTTTAATAATTTTTTGAGTACCTAAACTCATTGGCATAATTTTCAGAATACTCTAGTACCCCCTCGACTTGCAGAGGTTAGGTTCCGTGATTCCCAGGGGAAGGCTGAAACTGAGGATAGGAACAAACTCTCTGTATACTATTTTTTCCTTTAATTACACACCTGTGATAAAGCTTAATTTATAAATTAGGCACAGTGAGAGATTAACACTACTATTAAGCAATTATACTTTAATAAAAGTTCTGTGAATGTGGTCTCTTTCAAAATACTTTATTGTATTGTACTTACCTTTGCATGGGCAAGAAGCACATTATTGTTTCTCTCTGAAATATCCAAGTTGCCAGCATCACTATTCTGGCACTTTGGGGCCATTATTAAGTAAAATAAAGTTTCCTTGAACACAAGCACTGTGATACTGATAACTGAAGCAGCGACTAAGTGACCAACAGGCAGGTAGAATACACAGTGCAGATATACTGGACAAAGGGATTCAAGTCCTGGGTAGGGTGGAGTAGGACAATGTAAGACTTCATCATGCTACCAAGAATAGTATACCATAAAAAACTTATGGTTTATTTCTAGAATATTCCAATGAATATTTTTGGGCTACAGTTAACTGTAGGTCGCTGAAACCTCTGAAAGTGAAAGCACATATGTAGGGAAGGGTGGAAATTACTGTATTTGGGCATTTACCAAGTAAACCTGGAACGTTTGACTAAAATACACAATACTTTTGGCTTAATCATTAATACCCATTCCCAAATTCCCATACTAGTTCTTAGCCTATAACCAAAAACTGGTTTTTAAAAGGAAAAAAATTTCTACACAAAACATATTCCTGGGGTAATTTTTATTGAGTGTTTGTTATGCCTTCCTTACCTGGAAAATAATTTATAAAAACAAAAAACAACCTTAATAAAACTTGAAATTAAAGAACAAAAGTGGAGACAAGAAAAGGTATCATCAATCATTTTGTGCTCTAAGAAGGCATGGAGAATAAAAGATGCTCCCCACCTCACCCCCTACAAATTTGGAGTTTTATTTATTTGATGTTTCTAATAATTTTCTGTTTTAAATTACCTACTAAACAAGGATAGCCACCATGTAGAATGTCTACTGACTACAAAACTGGCCATTCATTTGTGTGCCCTGGAATTTTCTGCTGTTTTTTAAATTTTACTATCGTGTAATAAAGTTTAACTTTCTACCAAGACTGCCTGAGGCTCAAAGCGACACAAGCATTCTGTAACCTACATTTGTATTGTACATCAGATTTCTATGGTTATCCTGAAAAGTAGCTAGCCTTTCTTCTTTTATAACTTTTAAAACTAAATTTAATAAAAACACACAGCTTAAACTTGTGCTTATATCAATAACAGACTATAAAAATCATAATTCAAAGAATTAAGTCCCAATTTTAACATCATAGAGGTAAAAGATAATTTCAAAGTAGTGAAAGTTTTTATTTGCTATTTGTAAAACTCAATTCACACTTCAAAATCATATTAAACACTTACATAAGCCTCATCAACAAGATCCTACTGTTTTGAGTTAGGAAAATGTAGTAAGACCAACTTACATTACTTTTTTGCAGAATCAAATTCTGAGTTACCAAGTAAACCCAATACTTCCTACTTTGCCACAGGTTCTACAGCGTTTTGTATAAAGTGAATTTGTGTCTATGAATACTGTTTATAAGTAAGCCTAGCATTTAATTTAATTCAGATGGGTGTTAGACTGCTAATGAAGACTGGCAGGAAAAAAATCATATTCTCTACTACAATTATTTAAGAAATTCATCTCATAGGCTTTTCGTTTAGTTCCAAGTTTATTTACTCCATGCACACTGCCTGCAGATTCTGTTTAAATGCTTCCTATGAAAAAAACAGACTTCTCTGAGCAGGTGACTTGTTTAATCTGAACACCACCACTTGAAATGACCACATTTTTAGTGGCCTTTGGCCACAGATGTCAAAATGTCTCCATCCCCTTTCCAGACCTAAGCAAGAGACAATTTACTTTTGATAAACTCTAGTATTTATTAAATTATAAATTTTGTAATCAAAAAGAAAACTGTGGATCAAGAGAAACATCAAATTACAAGGACTAGACAGCAAAGTCTATGGGGACGCCATGAAATGTGTTACAGACAAGATTATGGAACATTAAGTTATTAGGTGTTCTTTACATTCCATTTCAGTAGCTTTACTATTAAAGTTTTTGTCTATTTTAAATCCCAAATTCACATGTATTCTCACATTAAGCTTCCTGTTAAAACTGATACCAGACATCTCATAGGTGCCAAATTTTAGTTAATGGTTTTAAGTCAATCCATGCAGAAAAGTAAGACAAAATGCAAGAGTCAGATGGGACGATTAAATGCACAGATAATACACACACGCCGGCCAAAAGAACTTTAGAAATCTTTAAAAACTATAAACAGACCTCAAGAAAACTGGGTTTATTACTAAACGACTCTCAACTATTAACACCCAAGTTCCTTATATTAAATAAATTTCTCAACAGAGACATGTTAGACATTTTAATTACAGATCTATCCTTCCTATACCCCTTCCCACCCCAACTCCCAAAATGTATTATTAGGGATGAGTATAATGTTATGTGGGCAGAAATTTACAGATACTCATTTTAACCTTGAGTGGAGCTGAAAAGTTTTTTTATTTAAACTTCAGTTACTGTGCACTGTCCATCAGGCCTTCTAGATCTAACAGTGCTACTCACTGTTACACCCCCTGCTAGTGATCCATCAGTTCCTGATCGATCTGCTCGATCAGATACTGTCTGGTTTGTGTTAGGAACCAAGAGTCTCTGTTGGGTCAAGGAGTGTTGTGCAACAAGCGCTGATACATCCTCACTATCACTACTGGCGTCTGATTCAGTTTCTTCAATGGAAGTATCTGGTGCTGGTACCCTGCCTGAAGATGGTAATTCACGATCTTCTCCTTCCCCCCTGTGGCTCCTTTCAGCCAGGCTGTCTCCAATGAGCTGTAAATGAGCAAAAGAGTCTTCCAGAGAAGTGCTTGCATCAGGGGTTGGTGTTGCAGGGCTTGTTAACTGACCATCTACTGATGTCAGGGGCCTTACAGAAGACACTAGAGGCTGAACAGAAGCTCCACTCTGTGCCGATACACTGTCCGCTCCATCAGCAGAGCTCTCTCTTGCTAAGTTTACGGTATTAGCATCACAGTCCAGCCTAAGTCCAGCTACTCCCTTCTTTGGTATATCTATTATGTCCCGCTTAATTTTCCTGCGACGTCCATGTTCATTTCGCCTATATTGAACCATATTTTCAAGATCAGCAACATACAGAAATCCAGCAATTAACATTTCAGTGCTCTTTTTACCTTTGGAGAAAGCATCTTCCAGCTCTCTACTAGTGCGTTCATCATACTGCCACCACCCATTTCTTCCTTCATAATACCATGCATATTCACCATTCCCTCTACTTGCTGCTTTGAGTTCTTCTGGTGACAGTAAGGTGGGCTTGTCAAGGAAATCCTCAGGAATTTCTTGTCGACAGAGGGCACATCGCTTTCCAAGCCATGAAGCTCCCTTTACACACAGATAGCAGAAAACATGTTTACAAGGCAGACTGACTGGGTGAACACATGTTTGCAGACAAATGGCACATTCAGGGACAGTTAGAGACGGTGCAGTATTAGAACAGGACTCATTCGCTTTCCTGTTGGTAGGAAGCATGTTTACTGAGTGGTCAATTTCACCACAGCCAGCCATCCTAAGAAAATAAAAGAAAATACATATGTTAAAAATCTGTTTTAACTTTTAATTCAACAATTCAGAAAAAACTTACAAAGCACCTATCCTATGTAAACCATGTACTAGACAATGGGGTTACAAAAATGAAAATACAGGAAAAAACTCTTGTGTAGAAAAATCTTTTTGGTTTGTATACCATTGACTTTTGCTTGTTGGGGTTAATAAGGCTCACAAATGTTAAGCCTAAAATAAAAAAATACAATTAAGGTACAGATAGATTTTAAATAAATATACCATTTTATTCAGTCATACACCGTGTAAGACAGAACTAAATGCAAAGATTTAAAAAATGTAGTCCATTCTAGACCGACTTCAACAATCAGTCTGGAAAGCAGTTGCAGGAATAAAAAAAAATGGCTGAAAGTAATTCAGATGACCATTACAGAAAGTGATGATTTTGTAGCCTTTTAGGATATTAATGGTGTCAATTTTGCAAATATTACCCTATGTTAATATACTTTTGGTCCTTGACAAGTACACCATATGTAACTAAGACTAAATGGCTGCAATCCCAGAGGTTCCCTATCCCTGCTGTGAATCTGAAAGCACAGGTTAAACCAGTCACTTCATTCCCTCTTTGTGAAACACTCTAACAGCCTCTTTTTGTTGCTGTGACATTTTCTAAACCACATATGCTCTTCCTGCTGTACTCTTTCAAAATGACCTTATCTATTCTAATGGCTTCAGTTGTTACCGATATACAAATGATTCACAAATTGGTATCACCAGCCCAGGTCTCCCTTTTCAGCCCTAGACCTATAGTTCTAATTGCCCATTTTAGATCTCTTCTCCAATGCCATGGAGGCACAAAAACTAAACTCAAGACCTGTTTCCTCCTCATTTACTCCTTAACAGCACCACCATCTGCTTTTCCAAGCTAGAAATCCGTACCTGAAACTGCTCTTTTCTTACCATTTTCCCATCCAAAACATCAGCAAGCCAACATTTTATCATCTATCTCCCGAATCATCTACTATCATCCATCTCTACACTTCCCTAGCCACCAAGTGACCACTCTTTAATAACTATGTATGCCTTTTAATTGGTTCAACCTTACCACCTGCTTAAAAAGTTGATTTTAGGATAAAGACCAGGATCTCTATGCCTTGAATGGTCTGGACCCCAACTCCCACGCCAGCCTCATCTCACCTGAAACTTCTTGCCTTGATAGCCACACTGGCTACTCTCTCCAATAATAGCTTTTCTCCATATGGAACATTTTCTCACTTCCTGCCTCCCCAACTCTCCACGGGCAAACTATTTCCCATATTACATCCCTCTTGACAAAGCCTCCATGACTGGGTCAAATCACCTTTTTTTTTTCCCCCTACGGTAGTGCACTTCTCATTCATAGCACTTAACAGAATTGCAGTGTTACACCTACCTGTGGAATTATTTTGTTAATGTCAGTTTCCTCATAGGTGGGTGGGCTTTATAAAGGCAGAGAATAGGTCACTCTTGGATCATGTC